GGGGGGGGGGGGGAGAGGGAATATGCATGCCTGCACACAAAAGGGAACAAACCCGAATGAGATTTGCATGTATGTGCGATTGTAACCTGATGGTCCTTGTCCTGGCTGAATTAGTGAGCACCCCACTGCTATGTATGCCCAATTATTGCAAATCAGCATCGTGTGTCTTTATCACATGCCTAATGACAGCTGCATTTTATGGCTTTCATAAACTTTTGATTTATCTAAAAGAGTAATGTTACCTTGTTTTAATTTGTTGATTTAATTATTCATAGTTATTGGATTTACAATGGACCACAATATTTGTTGGGACCTACAATCAATCTAATAATTATGATAGATTATGTTAATAATTTATGTTAGCATGAATTAAGATTGCCCTTTTTAATCTATCCCCTTTTTTTGTGTATTGTGTAAGTAGCATAAAAATTGATGAGCCCGGCCTAGACAAAACCCAATGGGTCCAACCTAGATGAGGCTCAACTCGGTTCATCCTGGAGCCAAGAAGTTGGCCATGCCATCCTGGAGCTAAGAAGTCAGCCACGCCATCCTGAAGTCACACCATCTTAGAGTCAAAGAGTCAACCACGTCATCCTAGAATTTCAGTTACGCTATCTTGAGACCCACTTTGCAACTGATAAAGAAATCTCTACGCCATCTTCACGCAATTATCCCGTCCATTACGAGAATAGTGTCATCTTCACTGAATTAACCTATTTGTTACGAATATAATGCCTTAATCTGTTAGGAGAAGACTTTAAATTAAAAGCCCCCACCTACGTATAGGAGGCATCTTGACTCACCTAATATTTCATTGCTATCACTTGAGCTCTCCATTACCCTTGTAGGAATAAAACACTTTGGCAAACAAGCCCCTTGAAAATGGAGTAGATCACCCTGTACTACTCTATCTCTGTGTGTTACTTGTGTTGAGTTCTTCATCATATTTACTGTATTTTATTAACTATACTAATCACTCGACATATGGTGTATAAAATTAATTTGTTCATCATCAAAAACTATGATGGTCCTACAAATAAGCTATCGACTGTTGTTTATTTGGATTTAGTATTCCACAGAACCCATGAATATGATATCATACGTACCTCTTCTACCAAGTAAATTAGAATAGTTTATAATTTAATGTCCTTAACTATTTTTTATTTTACATTATCACCTCAATTATTACATCTCTCACATTACTCTCATAACTATTGTGATTGATTTAACATTTCCCCCTCAAGTAGTATGTTTATTTCATTTTATTCTAAGTAGGACTGTTTGTTTTTCATGACCCCAGTCGTAGATATTGTAGACTAGTACTTTAGTACACATTTAGACATTCTTTTCAAAACATGATGAATGTTTTATTTTGTAGTGGTGTGAAAAAGATTCAATTAGTTGAAAGAAGAATAAGAGAAAAGTGAGATTGGAACCACATTTGACGGGGATAATGTGGTATTTTTTTAATAAAATTCCATGGTGCCTTTAACCATGAAAATTAGGAGTAATGAATTGAACATATATACATATATATATATATATATATATATATATATATATATATATATATATATATATATATTTTATCACATATAAAATGGACTTCTCCATAAATTTAATGAACCCATAGAATAGTTATATTACCTGAGAAAGTAAATACCCTTCATTTTAAAACACACACACACACCCCCGTACATTTCTTTCTAATTTTATGCCAAATTTTAGGAGGCCAGAATTTGGGTAATTATCAGAAAAACTCATCTTTCTGTTTTTTCTTCTTAAACCAAACATGATTCCTTACTCATCCCTCTCCATATCCATCATTCTATTTTTTCATTAATTATATCAAATGGACCATTACGCTCTTTCTCCCCATCTCCGGCCGTCACT